CAAATGCAAAAAAAAAAAAAAAAAAAAAAAAATTACTGGGACACTCAGGAGTTCTCACTCCCCAGTCCATGGCCCAGAAAGGTTTTCCTCTTGTGTGAACCTGATGCCACACTTTCTCAAACCAGGTCTCTTTCTCTCGCTTTTGTCTCTCCATGGAAAGGTTCCCTTCCCTCTACAAACTGCCGTTTTTCTAGCTCCCAATTGACTTTCACATACTTCACGCCTGCCAGGCTTTCTCTTCCAACTGTGGAGATCCTTCTGCCGCTCAGCAGATAGGTGTCCTGGGTTTTCCAAGTGATCTGACAGCTGTTTGAGGGAGAAGCAAAGCACGTGTTCCTCCTACTTCTCCACTATCTTAACTCCTCCTCTCATTCCTTCTTGATTCAGAAATCTCACTCCATAGCTCGATGCACAATACACAATACAAACCTGGCTCATAAATTCCCTTCAACTGTGAACACACATCCCTCACAAGAGCCTCATTCTTTCATGACTCCTAACAGTCCATGTAGCCTAGAATTACTGTCCCGTTTCTTTTTGAATTCACCTGTCCCTCTTCCATTTCCCAAATTACTCCATAGGCATCCTCCTCCAGGAAGCAACTCTTGCCTACTACCTCTTTCTCAGTTTCTACTCATACCATCCACCAAAGTAATGATATCTCAATACCTGTCCAGTTACTAATTCCTCCTACTTCAGTTCATTTTTTCTTCCCATTTAGGGTGTAAATTATTTGCCCAAAAGAACAGAAGATGCTGTCACAAGATTTTGGCACCTGTTCCTAAAAAAATCATCTAAAGGAATGGGTAAGTATAAGGGCAATCCTGCTCCTGGCAGGCTTCCCTGGGGTCACCTATTCTCTGTTGAAAAGAGGAAAAATTCCACAAATGAAAAAGTAGCTTCCCATCCCTCCTTTCCAGGGAAGTCATCATACATAAATACAGTAGAAAAACACTAGCTCTCATAGGCAAACCATAAAACTGTTCACGAAAATTCTATGTTGTGCTCAAGCTGAAGTCAGTCTCATCTTCAGAGATACCTTGGAGTCACATAGATTAGTTTGGATCCTCTATCAATTTTGGTATTTTGGCCCATCTCCAAGTCCGATGAGTACGGATGGAGCAAGACCAGGGGAGGTCGTGTCAGGGATTCACCCGCCCCAGGGCTGTTGCTCTTTGAGTGAACATCACTGTTCTTACCACTGGGTTAGAGGAAGGGCGTCTACTCCTTCTCCTGAGCAAGACTCCACTCTGATGGCACAGACAGGGCAGTCACCAAAAATCAGGCTGAGTCACACAAAGGCAAATCTAGAAGTGCTGAGGTAGAGTTGTAGATGCTGGGTACAGATCTAGATACACTTCTAGATATTGTTCTGGATGGAGAGAAATGCTGTTTGTCAAGGCAGTGTCCCAGAAGATAGTTTTAAAGGAGCAGCACAGTGGTAGCCTGAAAGGAAGGAGAATTTCTGTACCAAAGAAATGTGTAAAGCCCTATTCAATGTAACATGAATTATTAAATGCTCATTGTGTGCCTGGGCACAGGTCCATGCTCTGGGGGAGTGAACAAGATACACTCTTTACCTATGATCTACAATCAGAAACAATATACAAAAATAAAGACACTCAGATAACTGTGGTACTTTGGGTTTTTTTTAATTTCAGCTTTATTGAGGTACAATTGACATATAAAATTTAAATTATTTAAAGCATACATTGTGGTAATCTGGTATACATATACATTGTGAAATGATTCAAAATGATTTTCCCACTCTTATAGGATTAACAATGGTATTTTAAGATAAATGTTCATCACATGAACGTGTTCTAAGGGCAACTTTGTATCCTTTACTTTATCTTTCCACGTGGAGCCTTGGTTTTGTATATGTGGTCCCAGGACCAGCAGCATCAGCATCACCTGGCAGCTTGTTAGAAGTACATGTGTGGGCTTCACCCAGACATACTGAATTCCAAATGCTGGGGCCAGGGCCCAGCAATCTGTGTTCTCACAAGCCTTCAAGGTATGGTGACACCTGATGAACATTGAGAACCACATAGCGTACTATTCCTGGCCCCACCCCACCACTGCCCCCTCACTGTGACTTTGATTAGTGAGTTAAAGAAACAACAGGAATCATGCCCAGCTCAGCCTCTTCTTCCTTTTTTTAATTGGTTTTCCTTTTTTATCCAGTGCCAAACTGACCAAAAATACATGCATTAAAACCTGCTCATACATAAAAAATCTAATAAATGCAGAATCCTATCCATGTTAACTTGTGGGGGTTTCTTAGCACTACTTCTGATGAAGAGTATGTCTGTCTAATTTAGTGATTCAGGATTTGCAAGCCAATTGGGCTTTAGATCAAGAGCTAACAGTTTAATCACCTGTCTCTATGTCACGATTATCAGTTGGTTCCAAACATAGGAGCGAGAAATGGGGTGTTATTTATTGGATCTTTTTAGCTCCAACATGGGTTGTAGTGAAAAGTGGGCAGGAGGCAGGTTCAGATTGCCAGCAGTAGAGAGACCTAGCAGAGAGAATAACTAGACACAAGAACCAGACAAAATCCTAGAAATTTATAAGTGAACCTAACTTTAGAAATAATCAGTTCTCACTTCTCATATTACAGAAAAATAAGCAAAGCACTGAGGGAACCAAGAGGCTTGCTCAGGGTCACATTGCTAGTTAGTGGTGAGAACAAGAGCAGAGCCCAGGACACTTGGCTCTCAGCTGAGCATTTTCTGATCAAGTGGACCAAAGCCAACAGCAGTAGAGAAAGTTTCTTGTCCAAGTATACAGATATCGCCAAATAGAAGAAACATCCCCAGGGATTTTCGGCAAGGGTATTGGGTTCAAAACCAAGTGTTTTGTGCTCAGAGGAAAGCTCTGGCTCCAGTCCACCTGTGCACATTCTGTTACCCCCCCCCCCACACACACACAGCCAAGGCTCAGGCTACACTGTATGTTCAGTGTGTTCTGAACACTGCTTCAATTTCTTGTGCTTTTCCAAGTGTTGTTCTCTCTGCCTACAGTCTCTCACTGCTGCCCACATGTGGAAAATCCTAATACGTCCTTGTAGAGAGCCAACTCAAATGCCATTTCTCTACAAAATACCTGATTTGACCAATAAACCCTCACCACTGCACCAGCCAGAAATGATCATCCACCACTCTGATTTCCCAGAACACATTATTTGTACATGACTTATTATGACAACACTTCCTACTTGTGTTACAGCTATACTTTACACCTTGTATTAGAATATAAGCCCTGAAAGGCCAGGGGCCATATTTCATCTTTTTGTTTTGTGTGTTTGTTCGATTTTAGTTTCTTTTTTTATTGTTTTTGTACAAGTATAACTAGCATACCATGTCACTATATTATTCTAGGTGTACTATATAATGCCTCAACAATTCCACACATGTCACAGTGCTCATCAAGATAACTATACTCTTAATTCCCTCATCTGTTTCACCCATCCTTGTACCCACGTCACTTTAACAACCAACAGTTTCTTTGCTGTATTTAAGTGTACGGAGTTGTTTTTATTGCTTGTCTCACTTTTTCCTTTTTTGCTGTTGTTGTTTTATTTATTAAATTTCTGTAAGAGTAGAACCATTCGGTGTTTGTCTTACTCCAAACAGACGTATTTCACATAGTTTTATCTCTGTAGGTCCATCCAATTTATTGCAAATGGCAGAATTCCATTCTTTTTTATGACTGAGTACTATTCCATGATAGATAGAGAGATGGATAGATAGATAGATAGATAGATAGATAGATAGATAGATAGATAGATATTACATCTTCTTTATCCATTTATCTATTAAGGGACATTTGGGCTGCTTCCATGTCCTGGCTATTGTAAATTATGCCACATAATAATGGGGGTGTATGTGTCTTGTTGAATTCATGTAACTAAAAGGCTTTTGCCCTGAAAAGATAACCAGCAACAGAAGAGAAAAGCAACCTACTGAATAAGAGAAGATATTTGCAAATAATATATCCAAAAAGGAGTTGATACCAAAAATACAGAAAGAATTTATACAACTCAACATCAAAAAACCCCAACTAATCCACTTAAAAACTGGGCAGAGGCACTGAATACACATTTTTCCAAAGGAGACATGCAGATGGCCAACAGACACTTGGAAAGGTGTTCACCATCACTAATCACAGGGAAACCTAAATTAACACTACAATGAGGTATCACTTTGAATCTGTCAGAATGGCTAAAATCAAAAAGACAAGATAAGCAAGTATTGTCCAAAATATGGTGAAAAAGGAACCCTCATGTACTGTTAGTGGGAATGTCAGCTGCTACAGCCACTATGGAGAATAGTATAGAGGTTTCTCAAAAATAAAAGTACCTATGATCCAGTAATTCTGTTACAGGTTATTTTTTAAAATAATCTATACACACAACGTGGGGCTCAAGGTCACCACCCTGAGAGAAGAATTGCATGCTTTACTGACTGAGCCAGCCAGGCACCCCACAGCTACTGGATATTTAACCAATGATATCAAAAATCTTTTTTCTGGTTTCTTTTAATAATAATATTTTAAAGCTGGTAAGCAACTACGACACGATTCAACTAGACAAGTCAAAAAAAAAAAAAAAAGGGAGGGTGGAGAATGAGCAAAACACATCCTTCTCAATATACACAAAGTTCTATTAGTGTTTCCCCACCAACATCCCATGGGAAGCCTACCATCCAGTAGGATCAAGAGTACTCGATTATTGGGGTGCCTGGGTAGCTCAGTCAGTTAAGCGTCCGACTTCGTCTCAGGTCATGATCTCACGGTTCATGGGTTCGAGCCCTGTGTCAGGCTCTGTGCTGACAGCTAGCCCAGAGCCTGGAGACTGCTTTGGATTCTGTGTCTCCCTCTCTCTCTCTGACCCTCCTCTGCTCATGCTCTCTCTCTCTCTCGCCCAGAAAAAAAAAAAAAAAAAGAGTACTCCATTTTTATGCAGGGGGACTTGACTGCATTCAGGTGTGATGATGTCAAGCTGAATATGTACTGACACAGCTGTGTTCTAGTTCTACACTTTTGGCCCTAATTTAAATGGGGTCAGTGACCCAGCTGTGCTGGATCCCATAGGCAATGTAGGTAGCAAACCCAATCAACATCCAGATACCAAATAGGGCCCAGGTGCCAGATGTCATTTGCATCATAAGGCAAACATTCACAAAGATGCTCAGTAGTGGGAGGACAGGCAGAGCAGGGACCTTAAAGGGAAGGGGACTGGAGCTCTGTGGCTGTCTCCAGATGACCCCAGTGAGCCCAGTGATGAGCACCAGGAGCAGCACAAGCACTGAAATCCACACTGGGTCTCCAGAAAGCAGATCTGGCAACTGGGTCAGCACCAGGCAGAGAAGAATGATCAGCAGAACAAGCAGTGAAGAGCAAACATAGACAACCCGGCCAGAGAGTGGAGTAGGGTGGGAGCTGCCTGGAAAAAGTAGTCCCTGTAGAGTCAGCTTCTCTGCTACATGTCTATTCTCCTCCTGCACGTCTGCTTCATTTGTCTCATTCTTCCTCCCAGGCTGATACCTGATGATGAGAACACAAAGCGCAACCAAGGAGTGAGAAATCAGGGATCCAACTGACCCGAGGTCCAAGATATCAGTGACTCCCAAGAAGGATACAGTGACTGTAATAATTCCAAGAAGCACAATGGTCATGATAAGAGTGTTTCGGAGATAAGAGGCAGTGGAAAAGAAACGGAACAGGAGGCCATTCCTTGCCATCCTGTTTAACTCCCTAATTATCGGCTTCCATAAGCCCCGAAAGCTGTTAGAAAGAATGTACAGGAATGCTAAAGCTACAACATAGTAGGCAGGGACCCAGCCAATATGCAGAAATACCTCAGGCAAGGTGCTCCCAGGTTGGAGCTGGTAGTAAGGCACCATAAGTGTAAGTGCTAAAGAGACACCAAAATACACCAGAAAGCAGATGAACAGTGCAATCAAAATGCCCCTGGGGATGGAATGCTGGGGATTCTGGGCATTTTCAGTTTTGGTAACAATATAGTCAAAACCAATAAATGCAAAGAAATAGGTAGCTGCTCCATGGAGAATCCCTTTGAAGCCAAAAGGCATAAATCCTCCAGTGCCGAGAGGGCTCAACATAGACGTGTCATTGAGTCCAGCCATTATGTAGTCCTCTTCTGTGAGCTTCCAGTTGTGCAGGTGCCCCTTAATGAAGCCAGAGATGATGACAAAACTGAGAACCAAAAGTTTCACCAATGTAACCACTTTGGCAGTTGTGCTAGACCAAAATGATCCAATATACCAAACATCCCTGAATTGCATGAAGAATAACATAACACCCAGTACAACGAAATCTAGGTATTCCCGAACGACACTGGGAATGTTCTCTGAGATGGTCTCTTGCAGAGTCTCAGAGAGCCGGTTCCCACGCAGGTTGTCAAATGTTAAGATCCATGTGTTAAGCACAATGGCTATACCAACAACATAGGAGAGGATAAAGCTCCAGCCACTGATGAAGGCCCAGATTTCGCCTATAGTGACATAGCTGTAGAGATATCCAAAGGCTGAAAGGGGAAGACGGACAGCAAACTCTGCATAGCACAGCACAGCCAACATAGAAGATATGCCGGCCACCAAAACAGAAATCACAAAAGATGGTCCTGCTTGATTTCTGACCACCTCAGAAGCCAGGACATACACACCTACACCCACTGTGCGGCCCACAACCTCAGTCACTAAATCCAGAGTGTTCAGTGTTCTCTCTGGGTCATCCTCAGCCGCTGGTGCCCTCAGCGTAGGTCTGCGCACAAGTTTTTGACCGAATCTGTGAAGTGCTTGGCGCAGCATTCTAGCTGGAATCAAAGAGGATTCTGGGATCAGAGAGCTCTTCCACACCCAGGGAGCAGAGTCTGGGATCAGGTTCAGTGAGGCTGAGTGAAGCCAAATTGTGTTTGAGCTGCTGAGGTCCGTTACTCAAGCTTCAAAGCTGCTGCTTTGTATTTCATCTGGTATGTGATAGCTCTTCATAATGCCTAAATCAACAATAAATATTTAGCGAACAATGGTGTTCAACCAACTAACAGAAGTTCACAACCACAGCTCAGAAGTCCCATGTCACCTGTTGCAGCCCAAGTAACATAGAAATTGCTGCAAAAGATCATAAAAAAATCAACACTGCCCCCCCCCGAAAAGTGTCAAATATGTCCCAACATTCTCCTTTTCACACACCACATGACAAAATCCCATTTGAGTTTATCTGAATCCTGTAGCTTCATGGACTAATTAAGCTGTAGGATACAACAGGGCATGAATTTCTTGCGTAATAATTTACACACGGGATGTTTGTGTGGTGCTTGAGCATAAGTTATGACACATTAATTCATGGACTGGAAGGCCTTCTTGTAGTTACAGAGCCATTTTTTAAATATCATTTGATTTTAAGATACAAATATTGGTCCCACTCTCTTAAAACTCTTTACTCCCAAATCAGTACCCAACGTCAGATGGTCCCATTTCTCCTCACTCTGCATGATTCATTTAGCGGTATTGATGCCAAGGAATGCACAGTCCAACCCATCCCTTTACCCATCAAGGCCCACAGGGGGTGGTGTGAGAAGAGAGGAAGAGGGAGAGAGAGGCAGGGCCTTCATAACTCCCTGCAAGCACTAGAGAAACCAGGCTGTTGAGGAAACACTGGAGAAATAGGTGCATAAGCCACCAAGTGTTCACTATTAAGGGAGAAGAGCCAGAGAGGCCACTTTGTGAATTCTGACATTCAGTAAACCTCACCGAAAGGAACCAGACAAAACTTACTACAGTTTGTATGTCCACAGTTATGGGAGTGTGATGGGTAGGAAGGAATGCAGTCAGTCACCTAGCTCAGTCGCTCACAGCCAAAACAATTCCTTCTGTCTCCTTCCACTCTGGGTTCCAGGAGAGAAGATGAGCTCGCTTCTGCAGACAGTCTCCTCACTGCCACACTGTGCTCTATCAACACCCTGAGCCACCTGTGATGTCAGCTGCCAGCCACCTGGAGACTGTGCCCTGTTCTGTGAGCTTATATTTAAAAACAAGAACTTGTAACTCCCTATTAATATTCCACTATAGTTATTTTTCACTTGATCAAACCATGGTCTTAATATGCCAAATACATTTTCTTAATGAAGGAATCCTGCATGTGGTTCTTCCTCCCCCCTCCTTTGCTACTACTATTGAAATGGCTCCCTTTATCAAATGGAGCAAGACTTTGGGTGAACAATTCATAGCAATGCCCCAGAAATGAATAGAGGAGAACAGAGAAAACAAAGTCATGCAGCCTCCACTCTCCTCACTACTTAGGCTTTGGTTTTCAGAAAATTTTAGGAAATGTGGTCAGAAGTTTTTAAAGACAGAAAGATCAAGTCAAAATTGAAAAGTCTTATCAAAAGGAGTCCTAATGTTATGGGTCAAAGCTTCTGTGTATAAATTCATCTAGACTCCTTATGTGCCACCCATCTGTTACAATGTTATGATTTACTAAAAAACTCACAACGTAGAGTCAATACTTAACTCATGGAATCTTTCTACACTGTAAATGTCATTAACATGTTCCCCACCCACACTCGGCCTTCAAACCCTTCAGTGGTTCCCACTGCCTCTCCTTCATAGTTCTTCCTTCCTTCATCATCTGCCTGTGCTGCTTCCTCCAGCCTCATACCCATCCAGTTCCTGCTCTAGCTGTGAAATTCCACACTCACCCTGTTACCTGTCTCTAAGGCCCTCTTAGAGGGGGCCCTTAGAGCCCTTCACTGAGCTCACCCCCAGTTTCCCAGGAACCTCCCCGACCCTTATCCTGCCTTCCTATGTGCTGTAACAGCACCTGACTTACCACATGGGCCATTCATCCTAATGGATCAGAATCCAGCTCAGCTGCCAGTGTCCTCTATCAAAGTGTGAGTTAGATGCTCAATAAATACTGAACAAATACACAAACTGAGAATGGAAACCTGAAAGAGAACATGATTCAGAATTCCTATCTAAATGATTTTGAGATACATGCTTTGTAGCCAAACAATATTAATGATCCTGATTAATGTAAAGATATTAATTGTATTACTGTCCTTGTAGAAGGCAGGCAAAATGAAAAGTGTGAAGGAAAACAAACGGATGAAACCTTGATGTACATATTTCATGGCAGGTATAAGCCACACAGGGTGACAAAGAATTGTCAGACTTTTTGAAGGCATCATAGTCAGGCCCCAAAATGTAGGTAGGATGTCCTAAGGCAGAGGTTCTCACTTCGGGGACAGAAGGAGGCATAATGAAGACACTGGGGAACATTTTCCAATTCAGATCCTGTCCCTCTGAAGATTCTTGTCCACTAGCCCTGTCCTTCCCATGGCTGCTCTAAATCTCCCCAAATGATAAGAAACTGTCCCCAGTGTCAAAGAGAAGAGATTATGAAAGCTTCCTTCATGGAAAGCAGCACAGTTTAGCAGTTAGGAGTAAGGTTCCACTTGTACCCAGTTCAAGTTCAAATCACAACTCAACCTTATACCAGGTATTTTGGACAAATTAGTTACCCTATTGGTGCTTTTCGTTTCATTAACAGTCAAATGAGAGTAAAAGTACCTCACAGGATAATTGTGAGACATTAGAGAAATGATGCCTATAAAGTTGTTGGCTCAGTGCCTAGCAAACCATGTGTATTAATATAATTACATAATGATTAATATTGGAATCTGATCCAAATTCCCAAACTTTGAAAATCAATAGTCCTACTAAAATTTCTAGCCCCCAAATCATCTATTAAAATTCCAGCCTGTTAGTTAGCCTGTCCTCATGAGACAATGAAAACAGTTTTATCCATGTATTTTGCCTTGAAGTGCTAAGTACCCTAATTAGACACCTTCCTACATGGAGGTCTTAGGCTTACTGGGTTAGTCTTTGGCTTACTGGGTTAGTCCAGGAATCAAGAAAATGCAAGCCTCAAACATCATCATCGTCATCATCATCATCATTAATATTCTTGCCTATGGATGTCTCATCTTATCCATAGAAGAAGCAGTGCTGGGTACTATAGTGCTAAGAGCAATGAACATTATGTCAGAAATTTTTGATTTCTGCCTTTGCTCTTCCACTTCACTATATAAACCAGGATAATTTGCTTGATCTCTCTAAGCCTCATTTCCTCAACCACAAGGAACCTTACTTCACTTCCCTTACAGGATAACATAAGAATTTGATGAGAAGATACAAAATATCACCCACTGCTGGTGGGAGTGTAACTAGGGTCATCATCCTGAAGCACAATCTTGGCAGAATTAAGAATGCACACATACTCCCAACCCGCAATCTCTCTCTGAGATATACACCCCAGGGAAACTCTCCCCTGAGTCTATTAAGGAGTCTTACATGAGCATGTTCACCACAGGACTGTTTCTGAATTTTCAGCTGTGCCAGCCTCTGTTATTAAAGGCATGTATAGGTAAAATGTGCCATCTGTGCAATGAAATATTACACAGCAGTCCGAAATAAAAAGGTAGATTAAAGATAACAACATGTTAAGTTGCAAAGGTAGAAGTAGGATGAGGTATACAGCACAGTTAAATTTATATGCATTTATAATTTTTTAATGTTTTATTTATTTCTGAGAGAGAGAGAGAGAGAGTGAACAGGGGAAGGTCAGAGAGAGAGAGAGGTACAGAATTTGAAACAGGTTCCAGGCTCTGATGTAGCTAAATTCACATACACTTATAAAACAGCCAAAAAGTGGGGCGCCTGGGTGGCTTAGTCGGTTGAGCGTCCGACTTTCGCTTAGGTCATGATCTCGCGGTTCGTGGGTTCGGGCCCCGCGTCGGGCTCTGTGCTGACTGACAGCTCAGAGCCTGGAGCCTGTTTCGGTCTGTGACTCCCTCTCTCTCTGACCCTCCCCTGCTCACACTGTCTCTCTCTCTCCTAGAAATAAATAAAACATTAAAAAAATTAAAAAAAAAAAACAGCCAAAAAGTGATGGTTATTTGTCAAGGTTACACTATTACCTTTAAAAAAGGTCACATCATTCTCTGCTAAAACCTTCCACTGGTTTCTCTTTTTATTCAGAGTAGAAGCCAAAGTCTGCCTTTGCAATGACCTACAAATTCCTACAGTATTCGTCGCTGGCCCACCTACTACTCAGTCTCTGTTTCTCTCTCTTCCCATTTACATTTCTCTAGCCTCCTAACCATTCTGACCTCCTAACATACCAGCTAGACCTTACCTTAGGGTCTTTTACTTGCTGTCCCTATAACCATACCATTTCTAGCCCAGATAGCCCCATGGTTACTCACTTCACTTCATTTGGTAAAATAGCACATGTGTAGCACAGCCTTCCTCAATCACCACATATAACACTGCAATCTGCTCCTCACCACCCACAACACTTCATCCCCATGCCCTCATTGTCTTCATAGCACTTGTCACTATTCAAGGTACTATATGTTTTACTTAATGGTTTATTATTTGCCTCACACCAAAAGATGTAAGTTCCAAGAAATCAGGACATTTTTATTGTTTTACTCTTGGCCGTATTCACCACACTACAATTATGTATTTGTAGACTGAATGAATATATCTAAATACACATAGAGAGCATGGATTGGAAGGGCATTTGTTAAATACACTAAAGCAAGTGCCTCCAGTGAGGACGGGAAGTGAGAATAGAGATCAGGAAGAAAGGGGTAAAATAAAATGCATTGCAAAGGGGCCTGTCAGGAAGCAAAGATGCTAACAGTCCATGACTGAGGGAGGGGTTGACTCCACTCTGTGCACTTCAGATTCAACAAGAAATTGTATGAGATAATGTGAGTCTCAAGCCGAAGGGTAACTGGATCCTGTAATTGTCGGGACATGGAGAATACAGAGAAGCAACAACTGCTAGAAAGAGGGTGGAGAACAAGGGAACATGGGGCACCCCTCCTACCAGTTCCCGCTGAACCCATCTCCCTTTTCCCAATTCCTCTTTTCCCTTCAGCTCCTTCAACTGTCTCTGGAGGCTCCTTAGTGGGCACTAAGGATGCAGGTACCTCATTTCTTTCTCTGGGGAACCATCCCCAGCTACCTACCTCCCCACAAAGACATGACAGTGATTCTTAACATTCCTTGAATTACAGAGCCCTCTGAGTTTGGCCACCTCACATAAAATGTCCTACACCCTCTTGACGTCCATCCATGGAGCCTGAGCAGGAATCCCAGAGGAGGATCATGTGAATGGCAGGGTCAGAGATGGGTAATGATTTTGAGAATTCTGTTTCATTCAAATGTTTTATACGGGGTGGTCCTTTTTCTCTTCCTTCTTTTACTGGAGACGAGGAACACTGGGCCGCAGACAAAGTATGAAGATACCAGAGAAACAACCCAAAGAACAAAACATCTGGGAATGAAATAATCACATTTCATGATTCCAACATAAGCAGGCAGAAGAAATAAAAACAAGCAAGCTTATCGAAGACAAAGCAAACCAATGATTGGGAATCCTAAGACAGCCTAACACAAATCCAGCTGATAACAATGCACAATAACATCATCTCCAAACACTATTTTCACAAATTCCCTTTCTCTGTGCGATAATCTACAATTATTCCAATAGTTGAGATTCAATCCAGACTCCATGGCCCAGCTGTCAGTACCCACCCTATTCTCCCCCTACCCTCAGGCCCATCATCTCCTTCCTAACTCAGCACTTCACATCCTGACTTACCCTTCCTGGGACGAGCCCTTAGCCTGCGTAAGTGTCTGCCTTGCCAGGGATGCCCTCCTCCCTCCTTTCTGTCTAGTCTTGGTGCTCTAGGTCTTCTCAGTCCTTTTCTACAAATGTCCCCTTGTGTTTAGGAACCTTTCCTAAGTCATCCTGACTGCTCCCCATCTCCAACCTTCCTCCAATTCCTATCAGCACTTATAGACCATCCTGATGCTCAGCTAAAACTAATTTTCTCTTTCTGTCTGCTGGTGTCTGGGAGATGTCACTTAAATACCTTTATAATCTAAAAGTTACCGGAGATCAGGATCTATATACCTCCTCCTTCTGGATTCTACACTCCCACCTCCGAACTCACTACCCAGGAAAAGGATCTGCAGATATTTGTACAAAGCAACTTAAGAGGCATTTAGGACAGAGGAAATGCATTTATAGATGTAGTGATAGACTACTATATCTTGAGATTCTTAGAGGAAATTTGTTTTGTTGTGTATTTTGCTTGTTTATTTGGGTTTTTGTTTTTGTGTTTGTTTTTGAGGGACAGAAAGTGCCAAACAGTGGTGTAAACTGCAGCTAAAACAGGTACAATCATCTATTTCAAGCACATTTCCAGGGTGTGGAGGGCTCTGGGTCTGTGAGTCTCAGTCTCATTCGGAAACAATTTTTCCCAAAGGAGGTGCTTGGTACTGAAAGAAATGCAGAGGAGAGCCAGGGAACATGAAGCCAGCTTGTATGAATTCCATCATGCCCTCACCTCCCCCTTCCCTCCCTCTCCTCCGTGTATTCCTCTCAGTCTCTGAGCTCCTTCCAAACTCCACAACCAAAGTGCCATCCCAGGTCTCCCAGAACAACTCCTGTCAAGTCCACCAATCCACCCATTGAATTGCAGGCTGTCTTCCTCTCCCAGCCAGCCCCAACCACTCCACTTTGTCCTGGGGGTCATTGCGTTCACTCTTCTGCCTCTAAGAAGGCTATTGCCCTCACTCTGGATGTTTCCTTTTCAAAATAATTTCCAGCGCAGTAATTTCTACTGTCTCTCCTGGTTGGGTGTTAACCCTCTTGCCAATCAGGAAGTTGGCTTAGTGTTTCCCCCTGAATAACCTCAAAGAGAGTTTGGATACTACTTGCTTTGCTGGAAGTTTGATAAAGACTTGAGAGGAAGGCTAATGAGTCTGTTAAATAATTATTTTGCTTCTCAAATTTTCAGAGGAGTACACTTAAATACAACATCTGCAGAGATCATATCAATCCTCAGTATCCACGCATAGATCTTTTTTTTCTAACCTCAAAGTATATGAAAACTCTCTACCTCCTTAAAATTTACGGACAATGAACACTCTGGAGCTAATCAAACTAGTGGCTCCAAAACAATAAAGTATAAAGCTTTTTAGAAAGCTGAGGCTCCTCAGAGTCTCAAGTCCTAATGCAGGCAGTCTGGCTAATGATGTAGGGGGCAGTCATGAATACCGGAGTAGAGGCTTCCAGTTCAGGGCAAGAGTTTTATGTAAGTGTTGTGTAGGTGTACAACAGATCCAAAGGTGAAACAGTTCACAAGGCATATGTAAAGAAAAACAAAACAAAAGCCACCATGAACACTGGGTCTGAGTCTTATACCCAAGAGAAGAAATTACTATTACTTTCATTTGGCAAAATCAAATGAAAAATGAAAACTTTCCAATTTCTCTTACTGTTTGGCTTTTTCTTCAAGTCTGTGTCCAATCATGGGCTTTCATTTATTGGTTCAACAAATATACTGATTCTCATTTATTCAGCACTGCAGATAAAGCAGAAAAAGCACAGAAATCCCTCCGCACAAGTTGGTTACATCCTACAGTTGAAAGCAAAGAATCAATAAATAAGAAATATGAATATATATTGTTTGGATGGGCAACCAGTGCTGCAGAGAAAAGAGAAGCAAGAAAAGCCCAGGATGTGCTCAGAGTGTGTGTTGTAATTATAAAATGGGGGATCCAAGACAGGCTCAGTTCACACTGTGTGCAACTGTCACCACTACAACACTACACCTCTCAAATCCCATCCCAGTCTGCCTGAGGCTGAATTCCAATTCTGTGAAAACCTATCCTAATGCAAATCAACACCCTCCAGACTAACTGTCAGTAAACCAAATCCATCCACTCAGTAACAGGCAATAATCTATGTAAATGTAGAAAAAAACATTTTTGCTTCCTTCCCATAATATCTATGTCTGCTATATGCTGACACCACACTAGTATCATTGGACCATCCATGGGTGAACAATCAGATAGCCAGGGCTTCTCTAGAGGGCATATGGACTCCATATAATCTCATATTATCCTGGGATGGTTGTGAACAAGGCGCCCTTTCTTAGGCCTTCTGGGATACCTGCAGAGAATATAGAGTTAAGTGTGACCCTCCTCATTCACGATTTGACATATTTACAGGTTTAGTTTCAGTCAGAATCTAGTTTCGGAAATTCTTAACATTTCTATTACACCAAACAAGATGGTCAACCTGACAAATCAGAAAAGCCTGAACTTCTGCTTCTAGAGGTCTTCAGAAACCAGACGGGCTACCAAGAAGAATCAGAATTAGATTTTCCAAGCAGGAATCAAAAAGTGATCCGGGAAAATCCCGGATCGGTGTGCAATGAAGGGCTGGAAATTGATGTGATACGTCAATGTCAATGGTAAAAATCAATTTCTTCTCTGCTTCCCTTACATTTGACTACTCTTTCTTCCCAACTCTGAATCCTGTCAACACAGATCACCTAATAAAATTTCTCAGGAGAAAGCAGTAGAAGGAAAACCATCCGCTTGTCCACCATACGTTCCGAAAACCAAAAAACAAACACACAAAAACCTGCAACGTAGGATGGCCTTTGTCTACAATGAGCACTGATACACAATCATATTTTTCTATGAAGTCAGGCTAAGCATCTTTGTCCCCCCCCCCGCCCCCAATCCTTCCTTTCCTTGTAAAGTCAGATTCCAAATATCCATCTCATGGTCCCACCCAACACTATATCCTGTCTCTGCACTCAGACTAGCAGTTGTGAGTGGTCAGAGGCTATGGCTGCTTCTTCCATATATCTCCCCTCAATATATATCCCCAGTAATACACTGCATACAAGGTGGCTTAGGAAAGGCTGACTCTCTCTGGTCACCTTACTTCATATCTTCGAATAAGTTCTTTTGTCCTCCATGGAAGTACTCGGCTGTCTCTTTCTCTCTGTCCTCTCTCAACACACCACACTCGGTTCCCCTCATAGCCCTAGGTGACTATTCCACACTGCCATCATGTCCCTTGGAAAGGTAATTTGTTTTGCTTTGCTTTGTTGTAGGATAGACACTAGATCATCTGAGTCATATGAAACTTGTATCATGCCTCAAAGTCCTGAGTTCCTATTCAAATATAGATCCATATGACTTCTCCCTGAGGACTCATCCTCTGTACCCCAGCTGAGGCAACATAATCTACACCACTTTTTAAGGGACACTCTTTATCCCTCTTCCCCAGTTCTTTCTTATCCCCATTCTGTTCTGTGATTTCTGGGATAACACCAGGATAAAAAGAATGAGGATAAAATACAAATATAAAGCAAAAATCATATTTGTCAGTTTAGTGTATACATGTGAAGGAAATTGGCCTTTCCACATGATTTTGCTTCAACTAAGGTTAAAATGAATCTGCCTTCTAGAAGAACATAACACCTATCAGTTGATCATGGAGAGAAGTTGCCCAAGAACTAACTGTTGGAGGGACCAAGAAAGACAACCTAGAAAACATCATTTGCCACATATAATCAATAACACAGGTTTTGAGCATGGATAAGTGTTATCAGGGCTTCTGCGCTGGGGTCCAACCCATGGTGTACACGGTGCTGGGGAGGGTGGAGGGAGGAGAATAGTTTAAGATACCCAAGGCCTTTAATATTTTCTGATGTAATAGCAAACTCTCTTTTTCCTCTTGGAAACCCAGGATGCCAGACCTATTTCAGGCTTCTCCTCCAAGACTTTATCAATCAATAAAATATGCCTATCATGTACATGAAATTGATAGTTTTCAAGAAAAGAACAAAGCCATCAAGTTTCAAAGATTATTTAGCACTCACTCCTTTATAATAGATTTGGGACCACAGAGAAGCCTTCTTAAAGTGTTTTGAAAACCACTAAGTAGCCACACCCCAGGGGAACTTGGTAATCTTGCCTCCTACAGTCTGACCTGGCCTATAATCAATCCCCAGCATACAACTGTTTTTTTTAATTAGATATGAAAGGCAGTGAGATACATTCAGCTGTAAAAATAGATATCTAGCTCCTTGAACATGGAGGAAGAAAACCTTCAAATCTTCTCCGGTGATGGTGGACCACCTCATCAAACTAGACCTACTATTCTGCAAACTCTATGGTAATGTCCTCCCTAAGAAGATAGGACACAGACACTCTCAGAATCTCCAGGGAGAAAGTGGCAAAACATGAAGGAGGCAGCAGAGCCAGGTGGAAGAATCTTCATTCGTTCAAGGAACATATCTAAGCAGTCAATGTACTAGGCCCTGTGAGAAAGACAAGCTTTGCACCAGGTCAGAAAGGAAAGAGGCAGGAAGGAGGGCAGTGCAAAGAGGTAGGAAGGACTCTGGCAGAGATGTACCCAGGAATAACCTCCCCTACTTCATATTTTCCCCAGCAGGGCTGAGTACCTTTCTCCTCTTTCTGGAGAAGAACAGACCATAGGCCTCTAAATCCCTCTGACCCCAGCAAACCCACCTGCCCTTCCTAAACTCACAAGGCCTCTGGTCTGCACCCCTCTCCCCCAATCCCCTGCCTAGCTCTGGTGCCAGAAAATACCCTCTACTCAAACCCCATAGGCCTTCCACGGCCAGCTGTATTTCCTGCCCAGCCTTCTTCCTCTCTGGCTTTGGCTTAGTTTCACATCAACTCTAAAAACATGAGAAATCACTTATCCATGGGCTGCTTCTGTATCAGAAGAGAAAGACCTAAGAAAAAAGTGCGAGTCAAACCAAGAGAGAGGGAAGGAGCTTGGCCAAGCAAAGTCAGGACTTGGGGTGGAGCTTAGAGGGGTCAATCAAGGAGTTGGGGCAATGGGGAGGCTAGGACTCCAGAAAAGCAGAATCATCAGGAGGCGGGGCCATTGAGGGCTGGTATGCCTGGGAGGAGGGCTCATGAGAAGGGTGGGGAACTGTGAAGGAGGTGGATTAGGCACAATCCTGGAGGGAAGCTGGAAACGGGCAATGGAAGACTAGTGGGACCCTGCATGGGTGAGGAGGTCAACTGAGGGCTTCAATGGAACATTGTTGGAGACTTTGTTGACCCAAGATCTGCATTTAGTGGTAAACAAGCTATCCAGGGTATGGAGGAGGTCCTGGTTGGCAGAAAGAGAGTGTGGGGAGCCATGTGGAACCAGCCTATGGTGATTTGGAGGCCAGACCCAGATCCAGCTAAGGAGCCCAATCAGCAGTCCTGTAAACAAGGATAGAAGCAATACCACAGACACCTCTCAGAATCTGCTACTCCCTCATTCATTTTTCACTTCACTCCAGGATTAAAACTAAATGGGAACTTGCTTAATTTTCACCTCGAGTGATTTCTTGGGACATTCATTCAGCATTCAGTATATTCTAACTGAACATGCATTGGGCATTTTGTTGGAGAAAGTGAAGAAAAAGATACAGTCCCACCTAGAGAACTTCCTGCTCTAGACATTCAAAATATATGGGTTCCAATACCCTGAAACAGTGACTAAAGGACATTTCGGGAATGTTAATCATCAAACAGAAGCCAAGATATCTTCAGAGATGGAGAAAGTGGGGCCTACTTAATACCGAGAGCTGAATGCAGAAGTGATGGGCCCAAGAAGCCATCAGTCTCATGGAAAAGGGGCACCACTGCCTTCTCTTGATAGTGCTGAGATTCCCCTAAACTTAAATTAGGTCCCTTAAATACTGGGGTGGAGGTGAGGGAAGGGAGAGAAGGGCAGCAGCAGGACTCTAAAGGGACAGAGTCTATACTAAGACAGAACATTGAAATTTGAGCAGAAAGAACTGCTAGAGATATCAGGAAGGATCTCCAACGGAGGGAAGCCTACAAATCACATTGACCCTCCCCTAACACATCTCCAGTAAGCATGGGCCAAAGGCACTAAATAAGCACCTCTTTTCTCCAGGTACTATGCTGGGTAGTGGATGAGTGGCCCAGCCAGGATGACAGAGCCAAAATTCCTAGAGGCAAAGGAGATGGGCAAGAAGCAGAAGGATGGCTGTCAGGACAGAACAGTAGGGGAGGGGCACCTGGGGGTTTCATTTGTGTCTGTTCCAACAATCTTAGGCTTTCTTTCTCTGCCTCATGCTGGGATTTTTCTCCCCAAATATGCATCCTCATCAGGGAAATAAAGGAAAGTGCAGGGGAGGGTCTGTGTATCCTTGTATCTGGTCCCAAAAGCAATCTTTTTCTCTTTCTCCCTGTGCTAGTCACGCCTTGGGTAGAGGTGGGTGGCTGGAGAAATACCAGGGCCCCCAGACAGTCACCAGGTAATGAAAATACCAGATCAGGATCCCTCCTTCCCTATTTCCGATAGGCCAGCAGAGATGGTCAGGCAGCCTGAGGACCCTTGGGCCACATTTTAAGCTTGACCCAGTCTTGCAGGCCAGAGTTGGGGCCAGAGCCTGGGCTCTTCGGGGTTTGTGCCTCTGGCTCCAACTGAGCCCAGCTGGGCCCATCAGTAGCCAAAGCCATGTTTCCTTATTCCCTAGCACACTGCTGCCACCCCTTCCCCCAGCAGGGCCTGAATTTCCCTGGGGTGGGCGGACTCTTGAACACCTTCCACTCACCA